TTGACGAACATTATGTTCTAACAAACATTAAAATTTCATCATGACAATCAAATGAGGACTTAAAAAATAAACAGTTCGAATCGTTCAAGTTCACTATATAATGAGTCCCATAACTAGTTTCCTTTCTTTAGGAACCGGATCCCCTTGGGACCCAAATGAACTGAGTCCAAAGATCAAATGATCCGAGCCATTGAAATTCGATCAAACGGCTGCAATTTTTATAACTTTTAGAGGACCCCTTGTTTGTAGTCGTTTGATCAAATTTCAATGACTCGGATCATTTGATGAGTGGGCTCAGTTTCTTTGGATCCCGAAGGGATCTAGTTCCCATTTTTTAAAACATAGAAATCCTTTCGAATTAAGACTCTGATATAAGTGAATTTAAAAGTAAAAACATAGAAATCCTTTCGAATTAAAACATAGAAATCCTTTCGAATTAAGACTCTGATATGAGTGAAGTTTGATGCCATATTACTCTTCACAATACACTCACTCTACACATAGAGATGATGAAGATAGTGAAAATTTTGAACCTCATAGGAACTCTATGTGGTACTAAGTCACTCATGTATCTTATCATTCAATGTATAAAGTGTAAAATATTGTACTAATTCATTATATATAAATGATTATGGTGTGTTTAGACTTCTTTCATTAATTACTACATATTTTCTATACTCACAATGTTTGTCAACTCGCTATATAATCAACTTGATAATGTTAAATCCATCATGCAATGTATTTCCTTCCAATTTTTTTGATAAACTAATAGATAATTGACTAAATAAACATCTTGCAAAGTTTCAATAAAAATTTCCAAGTTTTTCTTACAATTTCCGTGGTTTCCATGTAATTTTTATCGATATCGATATTATCCCGATATTTCCATCGATATTTCCGTGTTTTCGGACTACCGATATTTCCGATATTACCGATATTTTCTTCCTTGGTTGGAACTCTCTTTATTTCGTCATCTTTGGTCACCCACCTACCTACTCTCATCTTCGTGTCTATGGCTCTGCTTTCCCCACCTTGAACCATATGTCAGCGGCAAACTGATTAGATAGTCGGTCTAAACCGTATCCTTTTAGGTTATAGTCAAGGAAGAAAATATCGGTAATATCGGAAATATCGGTAGTCCGAAAACACGGAAATATCGATGGAAATATCGGGATAATATCGATATCGATAAAAATTACATGGAAACCACGGAAATTGTAAGAAAAACTTGGAAATTTTTATTGAAACTTTGCAGGATGTTTATGTAGTCAATTATCTATTAGTTTATCACAAAAAATTGGAAGGAAATGCATTGCATGATGGATTTAACTGATTTAAGTTGATTATATAGCGAGCTGGCAAACATTGTAAGTGTAGAAAATATGTAGTAATTAATGAAATAAGTTTAAACACACCATAATCATTTATATATAATGAATTAGTACAATATTTTACACTTTATACATTGTATGGTAAGATACATGAGTGACTTAGTATCACATAGAGTGAACGTGGTGAGTAGTTCAAAAGTAGATACTTGAAAAGAAATTAATCAAATTTTAGTATGATGTAATTATTTGGACTTGATTTAAAATAGAAATTTATCATATATAATATATGTAACTGAAAAAAAAATAATCAAATTTTTAATATGATGTAATTATTTGGACTTGATTTAAAATAGAAATTTATCATATAGAATATATGTAACTGAAAAAAAAAAATAATCAAATTTTAATATGATGTAATTTATTTGGACTTGATTTAAAATAGAAATTTATCATATAGAATATATGTAACTGAAAAAAAAATTAATCAAATTTTAATATGATGTAATTATTTGGACTTGATTTCTCTTTATACATATATTCTTCTTCCTATTTTCTAGTATTTCAGTTTAGTAAGTGATTTTAAATTTCGGAGACGAAATTCTTTTAAGAGGGGTAGATTATTACACCCACCCCAATTTAAATTGTATTTTCACTAAGTTTGAGTTTATCTTGCTTTTAAAATTATTTTTAGATCTTAATAGGTGTGCCCAGGGGGCCCACCTTGCTTATGTGTCCCCGTCTCTCTTTTCTCTCAGATCTCTCTTTTCCCTCACTCTCTCATCTCTACCGTGCTCTCTCTCTGCACTCTCTGCACTCTCTCCTTCTCCCCGTGAACCAACCCACACGCCACACCCTCACTTCCACACCACTTCAACGGCGACACCTCCTTATCGCTCTCTGCACTCTCTGCACTCTCTCCTTCTCCCCGTGAACAACCCTCATTCTCCCTCTTCGCCCTCTCTGCACTCTCTGCACTATCTGCATCTCTGCACTCTCTCCTTCTCCCCGTGAACAACCCACACCCTCACTTCCACACCACATCAACGGCGACACCACCTCATCGCCATCTCCGTCTCTACGTCTCTGTCTCTGCCTCGGTCTCTCCGTCTCCGTCTCTCCGTCTCCGTCTCTGCCTCGGTCTCTCCGTCTCCGTCTCTCCCTCGGTCTCTCTGTCTCCATCTCTGCCTCGGTCTCTCCGTCTCCGTCTCTCCCTCGGTCTCTCCGTCTTCGTCTCTCCCTCGATCTGGATCCTTCTTCTTCGATCTGGTTTATGGATCCTTCTTCTTCGATCTGGTTTCTGGATCCATCTTCTTCGATCTGGTTTCTGGATCCCTTTCTCACCTCCCGGCGGCGGCGACGACGACGAATATCGCGATAATATCGCTAATATCGGTAATATCGCGATATTAGCGATATTATCGCGATATTTTAAAGATATTTTATTTTTACTAAAAAAAATATCGCCGGGTCAAAAAAACCATATTATCGGCGATATTTCGCCGATAATATCGATATTTAATTCCTTGGTTATAGTCCTCAGCACAAGGATTATCGGTGTCTTAGTCCTCAAACAAGTTGTTTCTATGTATCACGTCATATTATTTTTTAATGAAAGTTCTTTTTCTTAATAGTAATTTGCAGGTACTGCGCTCTTCGGAGTGTTGTCAATGATTTGCTATGTGTGCATGGCAACTCTGCTCTTTGATTAGGAAGTCACTTGAAAAGTGGTTCATTTTTTTTCTTCGTGGCCATACATTTTCATCGTTCAATGCATTTTTATTGATTTAGACAAGTTTTGTAACCAATTTATTCTTTTCATCGTAAATATATCATTTTACAAAATACATGTACAATATCTGATGCAAGCTGGCAACTCGATGATAATTAATTAATTGAAGTTGGATCAATCATCATGCATATATTGGAAAAGAGTTACAAAATCTTATTTGTATATATTACAACTGCTGTCTAATATTCTCATTTTAAGGACATTTGAGGCTCTTTTTTATATGAGTCATCAAATTAATTTTATGGTAAATTAAGTTATCAATTTAAATACTTTATGTTATACTGAAACACAATAATTCTACAAAGTGATTAAATTCTTCCTTACCGTCTCTCTCCTCCACATCCCTTTTCTTCTCCATCTCTCTCGATTGTTCACTACCCTGCTCTCCTCCTGAGTTTTTTCTTTTTCCTTTTCTTGTATGAAAAAAAGGAGAGGGATATGTTTCAAAATTTTCACGGTTGTAAAAAAATTTCATACAAAAAAGAGTTCAAGCGTTCAAGAAGAAATGTGATCCCAATATTCGAAACCATAGATTCTCAATTTTTTTAGGTTCTTTGTAACTAACTGGATTTGAATATTATTGATAAAAGATGAAATTAGATGTGTAAAGTTATTAGGGTTTTATGCAATTAAATTTGCTGGATTTAGATATTGATGAAGAGACTAGTTTTTTGTTTTATTTTATTAGTTAGTATTTTGTTTCTGTGTAACATAAATTATTTAAATTGATAGCTTAATTTATCGTACGATTAATATGAGACTCATATGAAAAAAGACATCACAGGTCCTCAAAATGAGGACTTTTGGAGAGCAGCTCTATTGTGTGTGCCACAGAACAAAATATTCATACTATTGAAGCGGTTCGTCTACAACTTGAAAAAACCTTCCTTGAAATGGATTCACCATCTTAAAGTTTTGATCTAGTAAGAACATCACAGGTCCTCAAAATGAATCCATTTCGTACAAGTTGATCTCCTAAAACCTTTCCCATTTTGTTGCGAAAAGATAGCTTGAAGCTCGGAACTCAAAAAGGATGCTACTCTCGCTTCAGTCCCGAGGGCAAAGGCAGCTAAATCTTTGCTAGCAATAGGTAAATGCAATTTTTATATATCATATATCTATATATGGATTAGGATCTGGGACATAAGTTTTTGACGTACATTTGTGAGTCTCACTTCGTAATGTATTTCAATAATTTAACTGTTTATCCTTTATGTCTTACATCGAAGTTCATATCTACAAAAAAATTATTCAAATCTGAAATCATTACTGTAGGATTAAATTTAGTGTTTTTTTGCAGAACCTTATTTGTCTAGGTTTTTCACTACAGTTAAATGTCTTAATGATATTGTATTTGTCTTATTTTTTGGAATGATGATCTATGAATGACATACTCAAATATATACAATCACGATCATTGAAAAACATTACGAAGTGAGTTCTACAAAGTATGTGTCAAAATGTATGCGTCCCCCAACCATATGTATATATATATGGCCAGGATCTGGAGACACAAATTTTTCACACAAAAATGAATAAGTAACACAGCAATTGTCAAAGTATGTGTGCTTGAATTCTGAAATGCATAGCCTCAAACTGGAGTAGACTAACTGTTAACATGATCATAACCAAAATACAGGGCATGTGTTATTTGATTTAAACTTAAGCTGCCTTTCCCACAAGATAGCAGCAACAATATCAAATGGGAAATGATAAAAAGTTCCTAATTCCTTGTAAAAACTAATTATCATATACCTAAAAGTAAGTATTAATTCAAGTAGTCATACTTCAGTATGGCCACTACCAACATCACCGATATTATCTTTACTTAATTACTTATTACTAGGCGTGGAGTTTTATCATAAAAGGGCTCAATGATATTAAGGATCGAATTTCTCATACATTAATTGTATATTTTATTATCATATACCTGATATGAGATTCCATTCTCCAACAATCTACACAAATTGTTTCTTGATCAAGGAGCACATGGATGCAACCACATAATAAGAAGATAGAAAGAAAACACTAGCTGAAACATGAGGTTACTTATGAATGTTTTGTTAATTAACTCTCTACAAGCTGGTACTCTAGAATGGCTTCAAGTGCTACAAACTCACTTTTGTAGGACAACTTTTCCAGTTTTGTACGGCTGTTATTGCTTATGTTCTATAAACATCCGGCATAATTAACACAATGCTTACATCTCTAGGGAATATATGAGAATTAAAAGCATTATATAGATAATATTTAACATATTGATCTTACCTGACTTGCAATGATGTACAAAGAACTCGGTGTGCGCTGCAATGAACGAACGATGGGAAGGATAAACACAAACTTCAATTTTCCATAACACAATATACTTGAGACTAAACATAGAAACAAAACAGCAGAAATATCAACCCAGGTGAATACTGGCATATTATTCAGTCATTTGATAAAATGATCCAGACATCATAAATTGTTGCATATACGTTCCACTATCTCCACCAAAACTCTTTTTTTTCCTACTCTAACGAATTTGCAGGATCACAGTTCTTCTGAATCAGAAGCATCTCGAAGTTGTGGGCCTTTTCAGTCAACCCAATGTCTGTGAAAGCTTTGAAAACCCTACTGCAGGCAGTAACAGAAAAATCTGTAGTAGTTGATTGCCTCCACCGATCAATAACTTCTCCTACTTCTTTTAAGTGGCCAAGCATTAGGTATGAAGAAAGAATGCAAATATAGTTTCTACTTGTCATCTTTTGCCCAGTCATTATCAAGGATTTCCATATCTGATCAATCCTTTCCTTATTTCCTAAACCAGCATGCAGAATAATAAGGAAGTCATACGTGATCCATTCTCTTTGTGTGATTACTTTCTCAGCTTCAACTACTAGAGTGCTGGACTCTGCATTCACAAGATGCCCAACGCTAACATATATATTTGCCAGGTTAATGTATCTCTCCCATCCTTCGCCAAAACCAGGATCATGTCTCATTTCATCTAAAATCTGTCGAAGTTGATCAATCTTTAGAGTTGCAGCACATGAACTAATCCAAAGATTGTATGTGAAGATATCCGGTGCAACCTTGTGGCATTTCAGATCTTCCACAACTATAGAGACCTTCTCTACTTGCCCCACTGACATGTACATAGTCATCATCTCATTGTATGTAAGGGCACTCAGGGACAGGTGAGATTCCTTTATCCTCTCATAGAGGTTCTCAGCCTTTTCAGTCAATTTTGCCCCAGCATATGAGTGGAGGAGAGCAGTACAGGTTTCACTTGTTTTTGCAGTAAGAGGTAGACCTTCAAAGTATCGTTCCGCAGCATCGATGCCAAAAACTTTTGTCATCAAGACAATGCGGACTGCATAGTCAGAATCTGATAGCTCAAATTCATTATGGCTGACCATCCACTCGGATATCTGCAAGCTTGTACAAAACACAAAACAGAATCCACTGAAACAGAGAACTGAAAGAGCCATATGAAGATTACATTTTGTTGTGTTCCCAATTTCATTCTTGTTTTGAAAACAAGAAATATGTTTACTTTTAGACATTTTTAAACCAGAAAAAAAAAGTGAAAACATGCTGGCTCGTTTGGTATGTAAGATTGGATTGGAATGGATAACTCCATAACTTCAAGGTATATTGAGGTGAGAAACGAAAACACTATGACCAACTAGAGGGTAGAAGATGGATTACTCATTAAGCAAACTTATCCATTTCAATTCTCTCCAAAATTGTAGGATTAGAAGGGATGAGTTTTCTTCATGTCTAATCCTCTTCTAATCCCCTCCTAATGAAAAATCATTTAATTCTACCATCAGTATGCCTTAAATGTAAGGGCTTATCCATTCCAATCCAATCCTACATACAAAACGAGCCTACTGGGTACACTTAGAAGCTGTAGAAGGATACCTATTGCAAGTGAAATAAAGTTAAAACCTTAGTAAGCACAAGTCTAGTGCCGACAAGCTCAACTAGAACCAATGAAAAGTTAGTGCACACTGCACATACATTTCATTTTAACATTATAAAAACTTATAGGAATTTAAACGGGTTGGGTTTGCTATCCGTTTTTAAATGCTCATGCACACAATACTTGGATTAAGCAATTTACATGACATCATTTAAACCCTTTGCCAAAAGCCAACCCTTCATATTGCAAAGGTAATATTTATTAGGAATTTACTGAAACGATGAAAATACAAATCCTAATTGCTAAAATGTTCAGTTTTCAGGATTTTGTCAATACGTTGTTAATATTTGATTGGTATGTGGTCATTGTTTGATTTTGATCATTTCAGCAATGGAAACTTGTAAAATCTCCTATTCTATTCCAAGCCTTCGACTTTCCTTCGTTTTCTAGCTAACCAAACACAAAATATCAAACAGTGAAAAAAGGGAAAGGGGGCAATTGGCTCTAATAATCAGAAATCAAACCCCAATTGCTGAACTAAACCAAATATTGACAACATATCGATCAAATATCGGCCACAAAGTAATCACATCATACTGAAAACCCCATCATTTCAGCAATTGCGATTTGAAAAATGAACATTTTGGCCAATTTCCCACATATAAAAAGAGAATCCAACCTCGAGGGCGTGCTTGTAACGGTGAGACTTGCTGAGGTCCTTCGATATCTGGCGGAGGTCCGAAATGGAAATTGGGTTGCCTTCAGAGACCCATCTCTGAAGAACGTTGGTGGCGCTTCGCTTGGGCTGCCTGAGCTTGAAGACTCTGCTCTTCAGGTTGTCACTTTCCTCAGAATCTTGGACAAACTCAGCATTCACAGCACCTGCTCCTCCTGACGACAACAATCTACCAACACCAAGACTAACACTGCTGACACCGCTGCTCCGTCTGAGAGTGCGCAAGAGTGACCGAGACGCCATTGACGCTTGAGCTTCAGCCTACACTCTAGTTTCTGCTAATCAACCTCTCTAGTTCGGCACACACGCACAACACAACTGATTCTTTTCGGCCGAAGATTTTGGGCCTTCCGGGGTGGGCCTCACTATAAACTGGCAACACCTATACTTATATTTGAGTGAATTTCGGTAACAAGAGGCTCATTGTAAAACTTAGCGAGGTGTATTCAATTGAAAATTTGAGAGATTTTAATGGATTTATAAATTCATGAATTTTTATAGAGTTTTATTAATTTGTAGAGATTTCATACGAAATTTTGATTTAATTCCCTCGAAATCTCATGGGGAGAAGTGAGATTTGTAGATGCTTAAAATACACTACGAAATCTCTTCAATTCTCTCTAATTCCTGAACTTTTTCAAATTCTTTAAAATCAATTTTTAATTGAATACACCTAGAATGTTATAAACTTCTTTAAAATCCTAATTGAATACACCCGGATTTCTAAGGATTTTAATAAACAATATTAAAATTCTAATTGAATACATCTTGAATTTCTGAGAATCACTTAAAATCCGGATTGAATACCTAGATTCATTAAAAGAATTAAAATCCCTCAAAATCTCAATTGAATACACTCCCTTAGTTCCACTTCCTCATCTTTTAGTGTAAATACTATCGTTTGTTAAAAAATAAATAAAAAGGACAAGTATTATTCAGAGTGAATACTAAGGACAAATTAAGGGCAAACAAGTGGAATTTCTAAGCTATAAACATATATAAAATCTTATTAAACTCCGGTATATCGTTGGGGTACATAAACGAGACTGATGTATTTTAAGGTCTCACTGATTTACACATTACCTAGCTGGGAATCTTTAGGCTATCAGAAATCAATTAATATGATGAATTTGTAACCGAAACAAGACAAAGACCTGCATAGCAAGAAACGTTGGACAACAACTCTGCAAGCTACCCTGACAGAGAATCAAGGCTCTCACAGGAGCGTATATTATTCTATTCGACAAAAAGAAAAGAGAGAAACGCAGGCAAGCCGGCCGCCATGCATGTACTTTCTTCAATTGTCCTTGACCCGCAGGTGATCCAAGCAAGGCATCATGTAGGCAGCGGGGCTTGCCTGGAGTTCCATGAATTTCTCATATGTCATTCCAATGTACTTCGCTTTTTCGCCTTCCTTTTCTAGCAACTCCGGGATTGGGAGAGCAGGCGTGTCCAGTGCCGGTCCATGTGGTACGGCGATCGATATCCTAGTAGCTGTGTTGTTCACAGTTGCCCGATGCCATATGCTCTTGTACTTGTCGTTCGTCAGAATTTGCATTTGATCACCGACGTTAACAATAAAAGCACCCGGTGCGGCATTCACCAAGACCCACTGATCATTGTGCTTGACTTCAAGGCCACACATATCATTTTGAATCAGCAGCGTCACCAGTCCATGATCTGTATGAGGAGGAATACCGATTGCCAGGTCAGGCTGTGGGCAAGCCGGGTAGTAGTTCGCTGCAAGAATTTGGCAGCCGCGATCCCAGTTCATGGCGTTGGTAATGTAATCGGCCTCCAATCCCAAACTCTCTGATATTCCATTCAATATTTCGGTTGCCACTGCACGGGTTCTTTTGCTGAACTCTAATGAAACTTCACTGTACCCAGCAGGTTTGTAGAGTGAGTTGAATTTGGGGTGTGCGATGACCTTGAGATAATCCCTCCAAAGACGAACTTTGTCAATTGCAACGTTGAAGCTGGTGCCGCACTTGATTGGGTCCAACAGGTTCTTTGTATGGAACTCCTTCTTCTCCTCCTCCGGCAGCTCAAAAAATCTTTGGCACGCGTCGATCATTTCTTTCATCAGGCTCTCTGGTACACCGTGGTTGATCACCTAAAGGACATCAAGCGCATGAAAATATTAATTCATGTTTCACTATTATTAGCAATAACCATATTTTGTTTTTCAAATTTCATTTTTTATAAATTGAAATCTGACAACTTGTATTAACTATTTTAGTTTCTATAACAATAAAAACTACGTAGTAATAGTTATTAAACTACTATTCTAGTAATTAATTTTACACATATTCAGCATACATAATTAATTAATTGCACGTGTGAATATACCTGAAAAAAGCCCCATTCTTGGCAAGCTCTTCCTAGCTTCTGGATCATTTGTGCCCGTTCATCTGGGGAGGCAGAGGTGAGAAGAACAAAATCAATGATGGGGATTGAGTGTTCAGGGTCGTTTGCATCTCCCTTATCGTTGGGATCCATGATGAAGGCGTACTCGGAAGGTACATAAGTGAGAGCATCTGAGTCGGCTAAGGTTTTGATGCTTGCTACCTTGGGTTCTGATGCATCCACTGAAGTCACGGTAGGTGCCATTGGTGGAGGGAGAGAGAAAGAAGCTGAGAATTCTGGACTTTGATTTGTATATCCAGAAGGAAAGTTAATTGTTTGAGTGTTGTGGAGAAATATGGAAAAGGGAGTTGGTATTAATAGAGCAGGATGGCAGGCCCATGAGGTGGAGGTTTTTGAATAAGTTGGTCAGCGCTGACTTAAGTTTCAAATTTGTTGTCCAGCAACAATAAAATATATATTTGTAGTTAAACTTACAAGTATATGCAATAAATTAATTCTAGGAGTGTTGAAAATATTTGTGGGTTAATGAATGCCCACACAGTAGTGTTGAAAATATTTATGGATAGTAGTGTTGAAAATATTTGTGGGTTAATGAATGCACACACAGTAGTGTTGAAAATATTTGTGGACGGTAGTGTTGAAAATATTTGTGGGTGAAATGAAAGTAGTGTTGAAAATATTTGTGGGTGAAAATATTTGTGGGTTAATGAATGCACACACAGTAGTGTTGAAAATATTTGTGGACGGTAGTGTTGAAAATATTTGTGGGTGAAATGAAAGTAGTGTTGAAAATATTTGTGGGTGAAAATATTTGTGGGTTAATGAATGCCCACACAGTAATGTGGACTTGGGAAATGAATGTGGATTGTATGCTGTAAATTTTAAGATATAATTATTATGTTTTTTTTGGAGTTGCTCTATAAATAGATAGCTCTGTGTGCTATCAAAATATACTGAAGAAGAAAAGATCAATAACATCAGTATCTATCCCTCCCTATTTTAATTGTCATCCCCTTGTGTTATAGTTACAGTGTAATATTTTACACTTACTTTGCTCATGTCACTAGTAAAGGTTATCTCTCTAACTTTTGCCTATTTATAACACGTTATTAGCACGACTCTCTAACCATTTCTTATTTCTCTTCGCTGAAAGAAAAAAAAAAGTTTCCTCTAAGGATTTTACTATTCTTCTTCTTCATCTGCCTTAACTACTGGACATACCCTCACGAAGAACTGTTTGCACCATGCCTGCTTCTAGTTCTCAACCTAATAGTTACTAATATCTTGATTTCTTGTTTGGTGTAGCTCCTGACTACTAACCCAGTGTTTATTTATGTTAATTTTACTGCAATCCAAGATGGTGCGGTTCAATCGCCCATCTTGAACTACAAATTTAATCTTACTGCAATTCAAGATCGTGCTGTATCATCGCCTATCTTGGCTGTAGATCTAATTTTACTGCAAATTTTAGATGGAGCGGTATAATCGCTCACCCTACCCTGCATATTTAAATTTACCCGCTGTTTAATTTTATTGCAATTTTAGGTGGTGTGGTATAATCGCCCACCCTGCTCTGCATATTTAAATTTTCCTGCTACTTGAGTGGTGCGGAATAATCGTTCATCCTATGTTATGAGAATGGTGCGGTACAATCGCCTTCCTCATTCATCATGTAAATCTCGAGCCAGAAGTTTCGAGTGTTTATCATTTTGGCCTGAAAATGAAAATGAAAAATTTGTAAGAACCAAAAGTTCTAACACTACATTCCCCCAAATACATATTATTGCAAGCTCTTACACATCTCAGTTTTCTTTTAGAAAAGAAAATTACGAACTTGGCAAAGCTTGATTTTGTTGCTCTGGACATTACTAGGAAGAACTACCTTACCTAGGTAGTGGATATCAAGATCCATTTAGAGGTAGAGAATCTTGGAGAAACAATTAAGGAGGAAAACAATGCATCTTCTCAAGATTGGGTGAAGGCCATGATCTTTATCCGTCGCCACCTTGATGAATGACTAAAGAGCGAATACCTAATGGTTGAAGATCCGTTAGCTCTCTGGAAGGCATTGAGAAACATATATAATCACCAGAAAACATTGATTCTTCCAAAAGCTCGTTATGAGTGGACTCACCTAAGAATCCAGGATTTTAAGACAGTGGCTGAGTACAAGTCTGTGATGTTCAAAATTAGCTCCCAGATGAAACTCTGTGGGGAAACTATCACTGAGGAAGATATGCTAGAAAAGACTTTCAACACCTTTCATGCCTCAAACGTGCTCCTGCAGCAGCAGTATAGAGAGTGAGGCTTCACTGAATACAACCAGCTGATATCTGTGCTCTTGGTAGCTGAACAAAACAATGAGCTCCTGATGAAAAATCATCAGTCCCAACCTACTGGATCTGGACTATTCCCAAAAGTGAATGTTGTTTCCCTCGAAGTGAACGCCACATCCTCTGATGGCAATAATCATAAACGAGGACGTGGCCACAGACGAGGACGATGGAACGGGAAAGGCAAGAATCATGGTGTCCAGTTTCACAACCAGGTTCCAAGGCATAATTTAGGCCCGAGCTTCAAAAACGTAAATCGCCACAAAGGCAAAGCTCATATGAACATTGCTCCCAGAAACTCCGAAGTAGCCTGCCACAGGTGTGGTGGTAATGGGCACTGGGCGCATACTTGTCGTACCCCAAAACATCTGGTGGATCTATATCAAGCCTCCATCAAGGAGAAAGGTGTCGAGACCAATTTTCTCAACCAAGTTAAACCAATGGATATACCTGATCTAGTGTGCGACTTATCAGGGCAGTTGAACACAACTCACCTAGATGTCTCAGACTCCATTGCGGAAATGGGAAATGAAGTGTACCGGTCTGACTGAATCATTTATGTTTGATGTACTAAACTTGTAGTTTAAAACTAGCATTTCAAATTCAATAAAAGTGGCATATAAATTTCCTGTTATAAATTGCTTTTAACCATGATTCCCTTTACTCATAAAGCATGGATAAAAACTATAGTCATTCTCAAAACATGAGAAATGGTGGAGATATTTGTCTTGCAGACAGCGCAACCACACATACAATACTTTGAGATCGAAAGTATTTCTCAAGATTGATGCTTACAAAAGTAAGAGTAACAACAATATCAGGCTAATCAGATGTAATTGAAGGCTCAAAGGCCAGATTATGTTACCAAATGGAGCAATATTGTCCATACAGAATGCGTTGTACGCTACTCGATCTACTCGAAATTTGTTGAGTTTTAAAGACATATGTTTAAATAAATACCACATTGAAACAAAAAGTGCAAAAAATGTGGAGTATTTATGCATTACCTCCAATGATATCCAGAAGTGTATCTTAGAGAAGTTGCATGGTTTGACGAGTGGATTGTATTATACATACATAAGGACAGTTGAATCACATACTATCATGAACCAGAAGTTCATTGATTCAAAAGTTTACATGCTTTGGCATGACCGTCTAGGCCGTCCAGGATCTACCATGATGCATAGAATCATTACCAACTCTAATGGACATCCATTATTGACCAGACATATTGCTATCTCAAATGATAACACATGCAAGGCTTGTTCTCAAGAGAAGTTGGTAATTAGATCATCACAACTAAAGGTTGATGCTGAATCCCCATCATTTCTACAAAGAATCTAAGCGGATACTTGTGGGCCTATTCAACCATCTTGTGGACCATTTCAATATTTTATGGTTTTGGTTGATGCATCTACCTGATGGTCATATATTTGTCTCTTATTTACTTGGAATGTTTCTTTTGTGAGACTCATTGCTTAGATAATTAAGTTGTGAGCACAGTTCCCAGATTACCCTATAAAGTCATTCCAACTTGATAACTCTAGTGAATTTACATCTCAAACCTTTGATGATTACTGCATGACATTAGGCATTGATGTTGAACTCCCTATTCCTCATGTCCATACTCAAAATGGTCTAGTAGAGGCATTTATCAAGCAGCTTCAATTAATAGCTCGCATTCTGCTCATGAAAACAAAATTGCTAGTTTCTGCATGGGGACATGCCATCTTACATGTTGCATCATTGGTTCGATTGAGGCTTATAGCCAACCACCAATACTCCTCAGTACAACTCGTGTTTGGGTATCAGCCAAACATTTCACATTTACGAGTTTTTGGTTGTGCTGTTTATGTGCCTATTGCACCACCACAACGCACTAAAATGGGACCTCAGCGCAGACTGGGAATTTATGTGGGTTTTGATTCACCGTCTATCTTTAGATATTTGGAACCCTTGACAAGTGATATGTTTACATCTCGTTTTGCTGATTATCACTTTGATGAGACAGTCTTCCCGCCGTTAAAGGGAGAAAAGACTGTTCCAGAAGAACAGCAAGAGTTGACATGGGATGTTCCCATCTTATCTCATTTTGATCCATGTAGCACTCAATGTGAAAATGAAGTGAAAAACATCGTTCATCTTCAAAGTATTGCCAATCAAATGCTAGATGCATTTAATGATGCTATGAAAGCGACAAAATCACATATACCAGCTACAAATGCACCTGCAAGAATTGATGTCCCAGTTGAACAAAATAAAGTGGCAGTGAATTATTCATCTGGTGCACGCTTGAAGCATGGTAGACCCCCAGGTTCAAAAGATTTTGCCCCTCGAAAGAGAAAGACGAGGGCATAACTGAATCCAAATGAAATCATTCAATAAGAAAAAATGAATGACAAATCCACAATTCATGATTATGTACTTTCAGAAAAAGAAAATATCCTTGATGAGACACATGTACCTGAAGAAACAGAGGTACATGAAAGCAAAGAAATCTCCATAAATTATGCTTGTACTAATGAATTGTGGGATCAAAATGAAATAATCATTGACGACATGTTCGCATTTGCAGTAGCCACTGAAATCATATTAAGTGATGATATTGAGCCCCGCTCTGTTGACGAATGCAAATAGAGACATGATTAGCCTAAGTGGAAAGATGCAATCCAGGCAGAATTAAATTCCTTAGAAAGGCGAAATGTTTTGGACCAGTAGTCTAAACCCCGCCTGGTGTAAACCCCGTGGGGTATAAATGGGTATTCACAAGGAAACGCAATGAGAAAAATGAGACTGCAAGATATAAAGCACAACTCGTTGCACAAAGCTTTTCGCAAAGACCTAAAATTGATTATAAGGAGACATACTCTCCTGTAATGGATGCAATTATGTTCCGTTACTTAATAAGTTTAGTGGTTTCAGAAAAACTTGACACGCGACTTATGGATGTTATCACCGCGTATCTATATGGAGAATTAGATATTGACATATATATATGAAAGTCATAGAAT